AATTTGCAACTACATTTATAACATTAAATTATAAGAATAAATGCTAAAAAATTGCATTTAATAGTGCTTTATCAACGCAGTTAAAAAGTAAATTTTTTGCAAGCTAAATTTTGATAGATTTTTGTAAAGGTATTTGTACGCGTTTATTTCGTTGTGAATAACATAGATTAAAATATTATTTTTTGTATGATGTGTCTATATTTTAATTAGCATTGGCCATTTAAAATTATTGAAAAGAACGGTAAACCATATATCCAAGTCGAATTTAAAAATGAAACTAAACTATTTGCACCTGAAGAAATTTCGTCTATGGTTTTGGTTAAGATGAAGGAGACTGCCGAAGCCTTTCTTGGTACAAAAGTTACAAATGCAGTTATTACAGTTCCTGCATGTTTCAATAATTCACAACGTCAAGCTACGAAAAATGCCGGTACGATTGCTGGATTAAATGTTCTCCGTATCATTAACGAATCTACGGCCGCGGCTATCGCTTACGGTTTAGATAAGAAGGCTGCTGGTGAACGAAATGTGTTGATTTTTGATTTCGGTGGTGGTCTTTTTAATGTGTCTCTTTTAACCATTGAAGAAGAACTTTTCGAAGTCAAAGCTACTGCAGGTGATGCGCACCTTGGTGGTGAAGACTTTGATAATCGTCTTTTTAATCACTTTGTTCAAGAATTTAAGCGAAAATTCAAGAAGGATCTTACTACAAATGCTCGAGCTTTACGTCGTCTACGAACTGTTTGTGAACGTGCAAAGCGTACTTTATCTGCATCATCTCAAACTTCAATAGAAATAGATTCACTTTTCGAGGGTATAGACTTTTACACTTCCTTAACTCGTGCTCGATTTGAGGAACTAAATCAAGATTTGTTCCGATCTACAATGGAACCGGTTGAGAAAGTTCTCCGATACGCTAAAATTGATAAATCTCAAGTTCATGAAATTGTTTTAGTTGGTGGTTCTACTCGTATTCCTAGAATACAAAAAATGGTATCAGACTTCTTTAATGGCAAGAAGCTCAACAAATCCATTAACCCTGATGAAGCTGTCGCTTACGGTGCTGCTATACAAGCTGCAATCTTGACTGGTGATACATCAGAAAAAATTCAAGACTTGTTATTACTTGACGGTTTACCATTTACTCTCGGTATTGAAACTGCAGGAGGTGTTATGACGCCACTTATTAAACGAAACGCCTTGGTTCCCACTAAAATATCAGAGATATTCTCTACACAATTTGATAACCAACCAAGTGTACTTATCCAAGTGTATGAAGGTGAACGTGCTCGTACAAAGGATAATAATTTGCTTGGTAAATTCAAATTTACCGGTATTCCGCCTGCACCTCGGGGTGTACCTCAAATTGAAGTTACTTTTGATGTTGACGCAAATAATATTTTTAACGTATGTTTTTATTTATTTATTTAATTTTTGGCTATAATCTTTTTAATTTCTTATAGTCATATGGTTATTTCCTTTATAGGTCTCTGTTGTCGATAAGACAACTGGACGATCTATTAAGATCAATAATATCACTATTACTGATGACATTGATCGCTACTGTCTTTCGACGATCGGTTGGAACAGGATCTCTGTAACCTTGGTGGTACCAACAAGATTGGAAGATCATAGG